TCTCTGGCCCCCCCATTCCTGAGTCCTGACATTGCCTTGTCCGTCATGCTAAGTCGGTCCCTTCTCGCCGACGCCAAGGCCCGGGGGGGTTGGGTTACGAGTCCGGGCCTTTTGCGGGAAAGCAGCGCTTCTCGAAAGAGCGAGCGTTCTATGTAGCTTCTGGGAATGCGAAAAAGGACTGCTACCGTGGTCCTCGACTTCATCGACTTCATCGGCTCGAGTTCGGTCCCCCCCCCCCGGCTGCCCGCACCGGGCCGGCGAGGGGGGTTTCCCCTCCGATCTTGCCCCTGCAGATTGCAATTGCCCACAAAACAACACTGTGACGTACGTAAGCAGTGAGCACTGTACGTAAGCAACCAGACAACCCGCAGACAAGGTTCCAGCAACTTCATCCACATTCCATCCATCCTTGACAATTACCGTTGCTGTAAGAACATGCCGCCCGCGATGCACGCAATGCAGCGCATGGCCAACCCTCGTGCTTGCAGCAACACAGCCCGGCACGCATTGCGGACGCCGGCGCGGAAGGCCAGTCTGAGCACCGCAAGGAGGAGCGCTTCCGGGTCGGCACTTGCGCTGAACCCACGGTGGCTCTCGGATCTACAGAGCCGCCTCAAGACCCTGGGCGCCGATGCCCGGGGAGAAGATGCCGAGAGGTTGAGGAAGACCTTGGACTACCTGGACAGTCACTGGCTCGCGCTGTCGGCCGGCAGGGAGGGCTTCCTCACCGAAGAGCGGTGGAGGGGCCTCGACAAGTTTGGCGTGGCCTGGGGCGACATGGTAACGTTTACCGGAGGAGAGATGAGGACGAGCACGAACTCGAGACGCCTGCTGACTTTGGACGCGCCATCTGATGTGGTGAATACAGGATAGCATGGTGAGTCCTCCTTGTGTTGCACAAGGCACACCAAGCTCAGACGGATAAACAGGGTAAGCAAGAAAAGCATTTTGGAACTGGCGAGTTCTCATTTCCAGCATCTGTACTCACGAATACCAAGTAAAGGTCACGTAAACAACATCATGTACAACCGATACGCTGAATCCGGGCGTGTCAACTGGGTTACATCGTTTGCGCCGTACGCACCACAGGAAGAGCGCCAGCAGTGGCTCGACATGATGAGCCCCCGTGGCATTGGTCTCATCCTGAAGAGCATCAAGACTGATTTCAAACTCGTCAGTTCTGCTTGCTTCCTTTTTGCCATCCCCCCCCTCCCTCTTTTTGTTTCCAGGAACCTCGTTGAAAGCTTACACTGCGCACTCGGCCAGCCCGTCACATATCCCGACAAGATCACAGTCATACATAGACTCTCCCAGCGACCAACCAGCAGCTGCACCAACATATTCCTCGACGCCGTCATCTACTCCGAGATGCACAGACGCGTGGCGGCGCGATGTTTCGAGGACTTGGCCGTGTACGACTATCGAGCAGGCAAGTTGTCGGCGTTGAAACCATTCATGGTGGACGAGCTGCAGAAGGTGTACGATTTGCAGGAGAAGAACAGACGGGAGGCTGAACGGAAGATTGAGGAACTGGAGCAAGGAAGTCGTCCATGAATAAGAACATAATCACGCAACAAACATCATGACAGGAGACCTGTTTGACGATAGAGGGTTTGTTAAGAACAACGGCTCGAGAATTTGTATGTACGGTGCTGCATATGTAGTGTAGCGAAAACAGGCCCTATGTACGAACAGCCAGAGGAAGCGACTGGGGAACTATGTGTACAGAGAAGAATAAGATATCGAACCGCGATGCAGTATAAACAGTCGAGAGTGGTGGGGTAAGTGGGGTGGGAATCATGGCCATGGAAAGGAAATGGTCGAGTTGTCAAAGTCAACACTCAGGTGGTGGTGTAATGGGCGACGTATGCGACTTCCATCATGGCACCGAACCCGTCCTGGGTTGCGCCATTGGGAGCGCCCGGCTAGGGGATTCGGAGTCAGAACTTTGGTACAAACTTGGGACTTTTTTTGAAGGAAGGAATGCTTTTTCTCGAGAGGGGACGTACCCATTTGCCGCCCACGGCGACGTTGAGGATGAAGTACATGGGGCTCTGGCACAGAGAGAGCCAGGTGGCGTGGTCGGCGATGCGCGAGCCCGTGATGCGGTGGAACTGGCGGCCATCGACGAACCAGGTGATGGACTGCCGGGCCCAGTCCCCGGCGCGGCGATCGAACTCGAGCCGCCAGACGTGGAAGTTGTTGTCGTTGGCGACGGCGACGGTGCTCCCGATGCCGTCGGGCTCGTTGCAGACGCCGCCGGGGTATTGCTGGCAGTGGGCGGTTCCGTGCCCGGCCGGCTGCCCGTTGACCTGCTCCATGACGTCGAGCTCGCCGCACGCCGGCCAGGCCCTGCCGTGCCGGATCGAGTCGCCGAGCATCCACCAGGCCGGCCAGACGCCCTGCTTGCCGGCCCGGGCGTTGGCGCCGAACCGGAGAGAGGCCTCGACCCTCGTGACCCTGCCGGCGTCGGGCGTGAAGACGTACTTGCTCTCCAGCCGGCCCGACGTCCACCCCCTCCGGGCCGACGAGTCCCTCCACGGCACAATCTGCAGCGTGTTGCCCCCGCTGAGCTGCACGTTGCGCGTGCTGGGCGTGTACGTCTGCCACTCGTCGTTGACGTTGAGAAATCCGTCGATCAGGTTCCAGTTGCCCGTGTTCGGGGCGCTGCCTCCCGCGCCGCCAAAGGTCTCCTGCCATCTGAGGTTGAATCCCGCGTAGCCGGGGGCACCCCACGCGCTCGCCGAGGCAGCGAGAGCCAGTACACTGGCCAGTAGTGCTTGGTGGTTGATCATTTTTTTTTTGTGTGCCGAAGAATAAACAAGGGGGGGATATAATATATATATACAACAAGAACGAGTCGTGTATATGATACACAGCGGCGAGTATTCTGCTGCCACAAGTATAAACACACACACAGAAGAAGAAGCGAAACGTTCTTTGCTTTCCCTTCCTTCCCCCCCCCCCTTCTTCCATCACGGAACAAGATTCAGCGCGAGAGGTGGGAACATGGTCAAGTTATTATACCTCCCCAGCTCCAGACAAACCTAGCACAAGTAGCTCCGCGCTCTTCTCTGTTCCCTCAGAAAACAACGTTAGGGGGGGGGGGGGAGAACAAGTCTCCAGATCAAATGGCAAGGACTACGAGACAAGGGGAACCTAATCTCATCCCAAGTGACCACGACAAGTGCCCATCCTTGGAAACGTCCCATCCGGGCAGAAAAGGCAACATTGGGCTTAGCTCACATAGGGGGGGCGGCATCCTACGGGAAGACGATTCATACAAGAGGGGGGCATGATTGGTCAAGCCTCGCAACATTTCACCGCATGATGAAAAAAAAAATGTGTTGAATGGTCCTGTCCCTACTTGATCGAATGCTCGGGCGCAGGAAAACTGTGCGCCTCATGATGGAAGGGCCGAATCAGGAGGAGGGAACACGTGCTTGGGGGGGGGCTTTTTTACACTCTCTTCTTTTCTCTTGATTCATTTTGGCCAAACCCCTTGGCTTTGGGAACTTGGGGGGGATCCAGAGAAGATGAGATAGCTGATACTGAAAGAGTTGCTGGCGCATAGCCCTGGCGTAACATGTTGCTCTCCCCTCCCCCCCCCCATTCAACGCCATGCGAAATGGACAAAACTCCGTGTCGTCGTCTCTTTTTTTTTTTTTTTTTTCGGTATACAAGGAGGGAGCGTGGAAGCATATCTGGCTACGGGGAACGTGTTCCATCAGTCATGTGCTGTGCTTATGCTGTGGCACGGCGCATCTCGTCTTTGGCCGAACGGCTTACATGTAATACACTTCCCAATCCTTGGTTCGGGGAAAAAGTGGCAGGGCCGGGGATCGAGGTAGCATTGGGCCGTGGATCCCCCAGATCCCCCAGATGATGGAAGGATTCCCCATCCCAGAGATGCAGGTCCCCCCGTGGTGCTGATTGTTCAGGGTGTCACGGAGCCCATGGAACGTGACGTGACGAGCGCAACACGTCGTCGCACGTCGGGGGGCTTTGGAATTAAATAACATGATGACGGATTCTGCACAATGCAACTCCTCCGCACCTCTCCGCACCCCCAAACTCGTGCGTGCATTACGGATCCGTAATACATAACATTGTATCCGTCAGCGACCCCCCCCGTCCCCCCCGCGTCCGTGTCTCGGATTCCTTCTTTTCGCCAACGAGCTCGCTAATCTGTCGCGATGAAATGCATGCATTCTTAATATTATTATTTTTTTTCTCTTCCCCCCTTTTCCCGTGTTCCGGCCCGTCGTTGCCGATTTTGCCCGAACATGACTTGGTGGGTTGACTCGATGGGGGATCCAGAAATGCCAGGCTCTGTTGCCCCCAGCGCCAACAAATGACTCTTGCAAAGTCGTTGCACGGACCCTTGCATGAACATGTCTTTTTTTTTTTTTTTTTTTTTTTTTTCACATGTCCCTCAGGTGAAACCACGTTCCACGGGATGAGCATCACCAGCCACACGTTGCCGACTTGGCGCGCTCCTGACCGCCGACTGGACAGATCAGCTGAGAAAAAGAAAGGAAGAAGATGAGGGGGTTCCGGCAGGCAGGCGCGCAGGCAGGCCGTGATTGGCTCTCGCTTCATGGCGACCCTGGGTGCAAGGGGGCGCGCGATGGCTTGTTCCTACTTATCCTATTCCCGCCAGAATATTATCTCCTTGGATGCACTTGATCTGATAAACTCCCGAATGATATGTTCCAGATTCGTTCAAAGGTACTGACTGACTGACTGGCTCGGGTATTTCGTCTTGTATCAACCAGCGTGATGATGCAAGCAAAGCAACATGGTGGCTAGATGTGAAAGAATTTTACGGCTATTGATACAACCAATGTACACGACTTCCCCCTATGATGTGGTCTACAGCCACTATTGTTTTATTACACAGGCTGCTCGTAATCGTTAACATGACTCCCACAAAAACAAGACTTTCCCCTCGTGGGGGAAAAAACAAAGGTACACTGGTGGATTTAAACCACCTACACTGGACAGACGGGGAATCGAACCCCGGACCACTCCCATGCTTAGTCTCCAAATGAAGGCTTGCTAAGGGAGTATTATACCACTAAACCATCCGCCCGTATCATTGGTTTAACCGATGGGAATTTAGGGCGCTATTGAAATACATAATCTTTTCACAACGCTGGCTCACGCGGACAAGGCCATCTCTGGCTTCCAGTCCGACACCAGGGCTCATGTGATTGGATCCTCACCAGGGTACTGGCTGCACACAGGCTGCCGCATTCGGCAGGTGATGCCCGCGCTCCGACGTACCTTTCCCAGGGTCGGTCCGATGCACCGCTTTATTCATGCTAGCTTTACTGTTGGTCCACGGAGTAAAAGTCCTGACTAGTCCTCTCACCCAAAAAAAAAAAAAACATCTGCCATCGCACCCCAACAAACTTTGAAAGCTTGCAGGCCGCCGCCGCCGCGTTGATGCAGCGCGCCGTGGTAGCTGATCGCCGGCCCTGTCGCAAGGGTTGCAGTATCGAAATTTGCACCGTCTCAGACGTTCACGCGCCATGTCTGAAGACGACATCGACATGCTCGGCCCCGACGGGCAAGGGTCTTCCCGTGTCGATCGTGACCGCCGCGCTCCACGTTTTAGTTGGACACCCGCATACGAGACGACTTTCTTCCGCAGCCTTTGTGACAGCGTCCAACTCGGTTTGCGAGAAAATAACAGTTTCAAAGCTGAGGCTTGGGAGCGCGCCGCGCAAGCCCTCCAGGACTGCCATGGTGCATATCCTGCAAAGAGCCACCTCATCAACAAGAGCGACAATGCGCGGAAGCGATTCCGCCTTTGGCGTGGTCTTCGCGAGGACCCAGACTTTGTATATAATTCAGTGTCGAAAACGGTGACTGCCACGGAAGACGCTTGGAGGGCGCACATAGAGGTGGGTGTGTGTCTCGTGCCGATGCGTAGTCAGGACATTCAAGACAAGACAAAATAGAGCAAAAGAGAAAACTGACATGACAGGTTGACACAGAGAGAGCCTCTTTCGAAAGCCCTCAGGGGTCGACCGTTTGATCATGAAGAATACATGGAGATCCTGTACCCCGACGTTATCGGGTCTGGAGGTGCTCCAAAAAGGATCATGAAACCGCGCAGGAGAACCGATGGACAGCCGGGTGACGAGTCTGAGATGCCAGGAACCGGTGTCTTACATGTACAGTCTGAACCTTCAAATGGTCCCACCAGCCAGGACAGCCCTGGGCCAGCGGAATCATCTTCGAGCCAGACGCCGACATCGACCGCCCTTCCTCCTCCTCGAACGGCGACTACACAGCCATCCGCCTTGACTCCTCCAGATGAGCCGGCAAACCAAGCAAAGAAGCGAGCGCTTCCAATGGCCCAAAGCGACGGCCTGTTTGGCACAACGCCGCCGCCCTCTTCAACCTATTATGGCAGAACCCTGCTATTGGCCGCGTCACCAGGGAAGAGGCAACGGACCTCCCTCGCGGACGATTCAGTGGCGTTAGTTCCCGCATCTTCAAACAATCTGCTTCCGAATACGAGTGCATCTGCATCTGAATCACCAAGTGGTGCTCCGCTCGTGACGACAAGATCGACCCGGAGTCCTTCGCAGCCGCCGCCGGAGAACCCTACCTGTGACGTCGTGCGGCCCTCCATCGGCTCAAGATGGTGTGAAATGGCTCTGGAGCAGTTCTTCGGAGACTTTGCAGACGCAGATATGGATTTGCAGATCAAGATAGCAGAAAACGTCTTGGTCGAGGAGAGTAAGGCGTTGATATATTGCAAAATGTCCTGGCGCATGAAGCAGCACTGGGTAATGAGACTCGACGAAGCATTTCGAAAATCGCCATGATACCCCATACCATTAGAAGGCTTTGGCAACAAGGCTCATTCCCTGGAAAAGTAAACGCATGATACACGAGACAAATAACCTTTGCATGGAGCTGATGCCCCGGTTTTAAGAGGGGTAGGCGAGTGGTTCTGAAATCGTGATACCCGTTGGCACGGCGTTGGGTCTGGGGAGTTGGACCTGAATTCAGGAAGGGATCAAGCTTTTGTCATTGTTAGGAGTCAGTTTTTTTTTCTTTTTTTCTTTTCTTTTCTGTCCTTTTTCATTCTTAAGAAATGCATTCACTTGCTCGTCGCATTCTGCTCCGCATCGCTGAATACACAGTGACAAAATACCAGCAGAGGAAGTAAGCTGGTCATCCAAAGCCAGAGCAGAGTTCGAGTTCCCTGTTGTAGGGTAATCCTTGGTCTGAAAACAAAATCAGAGAGATTGGTTGCAGGCCAACCTGGGAAATTCAGTCCATGACTTCCATGGCGACCAGCCGTTGACCGGTTGGTGGGTGGGTTATGGTTATGGCTGTCATGGCTCTCACCGAGGTTCGCCAACAAGTACGTCATCCATTGACGGGGGGGGGGGGGCTGGAGGCGTTGCCCGGACCGGACAGCTTTCCCCGCCACCAACTTCCCTTCAACACACCTTCTTTCTTGTCCAGGCACGGCAACACAAAATCTCATAAACAAAGCCCTGCGATTTTTCCGGATTCCCTCCCAGCCCCAAAACAACCCCAATCAATCAGTAAGTTCGGCTTTTCCCTTTCTTGGCCATCGCAATTTGCAAGAACCTGGAAGCTAACTGCCCGCGTCGCAGTGTCTTACGCCGAAGTAGCCGCCAGCGGTCCCAAGCAGACTCCCGAGGAGGTGAGTGAAGCGCATCGCCATCGCATCGCATCGCGTCGCGTCGCGCAACTTTTTTTTTTTTTTTTCTCTCCTGATTCTCTCTCGCCGCGGGACGTGACTCGTGATGTTAGCCGATGGGGCTGACTGACTGACTGGCTGACACATGAAACGCGCAGGCCGCTGCTCCTCAGCCCGTGGAGCTCGTCAACAACGAGTCCGCATCCACTGCCTCCCTCATCGACGTTGACGTCCCCAGCGTGCGCACCGTGCCGTCCGACTTCCTCGAGCAGCATGTCCAGACGGACACGCAAGCTGAGCGGCTGGAACGCGAGGCCGAGGCCGCCGAGGCCAAGGCCCAACATGCCAAGAAGCGTGCCGCCAAGAAGGCGCGCAACGCCGACTCTTGGATCACCCAGCAATTCGCCAGCCTGTCGGATGGCAGTGCTGGTGCTCTGGCCATTACCAATTTCGCCGCCGTCATCGGCGTCAGCTCCTACCTGGGGTACAAGGCATGGGGCCTGTACGAGAGGGGCAACCTCAACTGGAGGAACGCTGGTGTAGGGTTTGGTATTCTGGCTGGCGTTGGTGCCGTGGAGGCTGTCCTTGGCCGATATCTGGTCAAGGGCAAGAAGGGTGGTTCTTAAATGTGAGAGTTGGGATGGCGATGCCATATCGCACACTTTCTCTCTTTTTTTTTTTTTTTTTTTTTTTTGGCGGCGTTGGTTGTAACGGTATTGATGCATTTCTTTATAGTTTATATTTTATTTTCTTGAGTCTAATGTTAAATGTACAATTCAGCATCATGTTGCGACTGAAATCTGCAGTCAGCAATGTCCATGCACGACGCCTGGCCATGTCGCGTTCCGATTCATGTACCACGAGATGAGATGCCGTTCCGAGTGGAGACAAATATTATGGTGCTCAATGGTGTAGCTTGATACTTTGCCCGTCCATGTTCCATAGCCTTTTCCACCTATGCATATCCGTCTCGTACAGTGTGTTGTTGTACAAGCATGCCACCATGCCAAATTCTACATGGGGCACGGGTCTGGAAAAGTGCCCCCCCCCCCCCCCAAGAAAAAAAGAAAAATACATTATCGCCACCCATGCGATAGATACATATTACAATAGCATGCTCTATTCCTTGCTTTCCAGCTTTCCTGGCTGTTCCTCTTGTGCGTCCTTCCTGTCCGCGTCGGTGGCGTCCTCCCACTGCTTTGGTACACCATTGTCGGCCACTGGCCGAGCACTTTTCGACTCTTGCGTCTCGAGTGGGTCAATTTTTGAAGAGGAATTTGAAGCATCTTCCTCGCGGGAAGCTCCGTCCCCCTCAGGTGCTCCGTCTTCACCGCCCTCATCATCTGTGAGTTCGGCGCCGTAGATATCCGGGTATCGTCTAAAGCATTCCTGCATGCCTCTGTAACGCGTGTCAGCGTAACTCCCCGTGGTGCGTCGGCACTTGAAGAAAAAGCCTCGACATACTGGAACTTATCGATGCAGTCCATGCCCTTGGGCTCCGCGTTGGAGAAGACGAAGCAGCTGAAGGCCGTCTTGAAGTCCTCGCCACAAGGACCGTGGGCCATTCCACCAAGACATGGGCAATCCCAGTTGATTTCGCCGGTTTCGGGGTTGAACGCGCCCTCTTGGCCGCCCTCCTCCTCCTCCAGCTCCAGCGGCGCCTCTGGGGAAGCAGACGCCGCGGTCGTCTGCGCGTCGGTGCTGGGTTGGATCTCAGGGGTTGTGGATTTGGTCGACTGGACTTGGGATGATCTGGGCGGCTGCTCTTCGGATTCGCCCCGCAGCTGCTGCCGCTTTTTCTCGACGACAGACTCGACGGTGGGCAGATCGGATTCTGCGAAAGTCAACGGGGCGGATATTGGTCGGGGTGCTTTTTGCCGTTGGGCGCTGGTTAGCTGGGATGATGTTTGCTTGAAAAACTTGTTGGTGACGCGGCGGGCGGGCGGGCGGGCGGACTGGGAAGTACCTTGTTCTGTCTCCTCTGCGAATACGGAGTTTGTGCTGTAATAATAGGAGACGGCGCCAATGGCCAGACCGCATCTCAGCGCGAGGCTCTTCCATGATCGTGGCCGATCGGCAGGGGATGTGGACGTCGACGTCGACGTCGACGCAAACCGTCGAGGTGCAGACCGGGAGGCCTGCGGGCGCAGACGTCCCAGAGTCTGTCGCGACGCGGTTCGCAAGGTTGCGCGATACATGTTGTGGCCCTGCCGAGACGGAAACGGGAATTTTTCCACGATGTTGCGAAACCCGGGTTGTGATACGGATTATTACTACGTGAGCAATGCATTCATTGACTGGAAATAATTATTCCACCAGGAAAAAAAAAAAAAAAAAAAAAAAGTGTACGGATCGATTGGTCAGCGTACCCGATGACACACGGACGGGACGGCGGTAAA